CTATGAGCTGGGTCTGACTCCACAGCACATAACAACAATAATCCTGCCTTGAGTGAACATGGCATAGATTTTCGATTCTTCCCTTTTGCTTGAATCTTGTTGGCCCTAGGTTACCAAATTTTTGAGAGAAATAACAATAGCTTGGTATTTTGCTCATGGTGACAAATTGGCAGCTTAGGATTGATGTAAATATTTGGGGCAAGGTTTCTCCAATTGGCAGTATTGATATTTGGGGGTGATAATTCTTTGTCGGGGAGCTGCGGGCAGTCTTATGCATTGTTGGATGTTTGGCAACACCCTGACCATCTCCACTACATGCCAAAAGAACCCCCCGCCCCCTGGCATGACAACCAAAAATGTCTCCAGACATTTACCCAATGTCCCTTGGGGGAGAAGGGCAAAATCACTCCTTTTTGAGAACCACTGCTTTACTGTTTAAGGTAGTCTCCTAGACTGAGCAAAGAATATACACATTTGTTTCCTTTTTAAACATATAGGAGTGCCTTTGGTAACTTTATAGGTTTGAATCCCTAATAATAATAATAATTAATAAAAAGAAGAATAAGAAAATTATTGCATATTTATGTACTAGACACTGTCCTAAACATTTTATCCATATTCATTTATTTTGATCCTTCTTACAACAATGATGAGATAAGTTCAATTATTACCTCCGTTTTACAGTTAAGGAAACTGAGCAGAGAGAGGTTAAGGAACTTGGCCAAAGTCACACAGAGTTAGACTACCCTAACCACATGCAAATCTGATGCCAGAGGCACACTCTTAACTGCTAAAATTTACCCTATTCTGTTGTGACCTGTTAACATCAGATTTATATTTTCAAGCTTCAAAATATATTCAACTCTATAGTGCCATGGTTAAGTGTGTGAGCTCTGAGTCTAACTGCTTGGACTTCAGCCGTGGCTCTGCTGCTTCTTAGTGGGTGACTGACTTTGGATGAAAGATTCAACCTCCCAGAGCCTTATTTCCTATGAGGTAGACCTACCTCCTAAGGGAGTTGTGAGGCACAAAGGGGATAAGGCACTGAGCACATCTCACTGCAGGAATGAAGACAAGGATGTTATGTAGTTTTTCTTTATACAAAAGTTAAAGTTTAAAAAACTAAGTGCAGGTTTTAGTTTTATAAATGATTGCTTCTCCTTTCAAGATGAGCATCTGCCTGCATTAGCCTTTCGTTTTGGTCTGTCTTGTTTTCCCTTTGCTTTTTAAGATACCAAGTTGTCAACATTAATCTGAGGAACAAGCCTGAATGGTTCTATACAAAGCACCCCTTTGGCCAAATACCTGTCCTGGAGAACAGTCAATGTCAGCTAATCTATGAATCTGTCATCACGTGTGAGTACCTGGACGATGCTTATCCTGGGAAGAAGCTGTTTCCGTGTGACCCTTACGAGCGAGCTCGCCAAAAGATGCTATTGGAGCTATTCTGTAAGGTAGATCCAGTTATTTTTTAAAAAGCTCATGTATGCTATTTTTACTTTGTATGCTTTTCCTTCCCAAAAGTCAACTCATTTTCAAAGCCACATCACTGGTTCTAGTGGACTTGTTTTATTTTAATACCCATGTGCATCTCAGGAGGATAATTGGTATGGAATTATAGGTAGTTTATGATCTCTGATACTAAAGGTTAAAGTTTTAACTGACAGGTGCATTTCATTTCGTGTTACATTTCAACCAGCAGTCTGGGGAGTTACAGTTACGATGTGATTATGACCATATGACTCGAAAGTATTTGAAAGGCGATGCTTTAAAGGGAATATTTCTCAGACTTCAAATAAAAATATATTGCAGCATGAAGACGATGCTGCATGTAAGGGGATTCCCTTTATGTCTAGGAAATGTGAAGACTAGAGAGAAGGGGACACTTACTGATAATGGAAAGAAAAGTGATGGAGAAATTTTAAAATAGTTCCTTTTGAAAAGAAATACAAACACCTGAATGTTATGAATAGCTGAGATATATGGAGCACTTATTATATGTCAAGCACTGCCCTGACTTCTTTATATAGGTTAACTCATTGAATCATCACAACTGCCCTTTGAGGTGTGTACTGTTACGGTACACATTTTTCAGATGAGAATACTAAGGCTTAGAGAGGTTAAACTCACTGTCGTTAAGTCAGATCCAACTCATAGCGACCCCTCCTTGGGTTTCCGAGGCGGTATCACTAAGGAAGTGGATTGCCCAATCTTCCAGTGGTGGTGGATTTGAACCACCAGCCTTCTGGTTAGCAGTCAAATGCCTTAGGCACTACGCCACCAAAGTCAATTATTATAATGAAATGTGCAAAGGCTTGGAGTTGGAAAACCAGAAGGGAAGAACACACTCAATTTCTCAAGCTGAAAGAACTGAGGAAAAAATTTAAGACTCAAATTGCAATATTGAAAGATTCCATGGGTAATATGCTGAATGATGCAGGAAACATCAAAAGAAGATGAAAGGAATACACAGAGCCCCTATACCAAAAAGAATTGGTAGATGATCATCCATTTCAAGAGGTGGCATATGATCAAGAACCAATGGTACTGAAGGAAGAAGTTGAAGCTGCACTGAAGGAATTGGCAAAAAACAAGGCTCCAGGATTGATGGCATACCCATTGAGATGTTTTAACAAACAGATGCTCCTCTGGAAGCACTCACTTGTCTATGCCAAGAGAGTTGAAGACAGCTACCTGGCCAACGGACTGGAAGAGATCCATATGTGTACTCATTCCAAAGAAAGGTGAACACACAGAATGTGGAAATTATCAAACAATGTAATTGATATCACATGCAAGTAAAATCTTGCTGAAGATAATTCAAAAATGGTTGCAGCAGTATATTGACAGAGAACTTCCAGAAATGCAAGCTGTATTCAGAAGGGGATGTGGAGTGAGGGATATCATAGCTAATGGCAGATGGCTTTTGGCTCAAAGCAGAGAATACCAGAAAGATGTTTACTTGTGTTTTCTTGACTATGCAAAGGCATTTGATTGTGTGGATCATAACAAATTATGGATAACATTGAGAAGAATGGGAATTCCAGAACACTTAATTGTATCCATGAGGAACCTGTACATAGACCAGGAAGTTGTCGTTCAAACAGAGCAAGGGGACACTGCATGGTTTAAAATCAGGAAGGGACTGCATCAGGGTTGTATCCTTTCACCATACTTATTCAATCTGTATGCTGAGCAAATAATCCAAGAAGCTGAACTATGTGAAGAAGAGCATGGCATCAGGATTTGGGGAAGGCTCATTAACAACCTGCGATATGCAGATGACACAACTTTGCTGGCTGAAAGTGAGGATGACTTAGAGCACTTACTGATGAAAATTAAAGACTGCAGTCTGCAGTATGGATTACATTTTAACATAAAGAAAAGAAAAATCCTCACAACTGGACCAATAAGCAGCATCATGATAGACGGAGAAAAGATTGAAGTTGTCAAAGACTTCATATTACTTTGTTCTACAATCAACCCTAATGGAAGCAGCAGTCAAGACATCAAAAGACATACTGCATTGGGCAAATCTTTTGCAAAAGACCTCTTCCAAGTGTTGAAGAGCAAAGATGTCTCCTTGAGCAGTAAGATGTGCCTGACCCAAGCCATGGTATTTTCAATTGCCTTATATATACATATATGAGAGTAAGGAAGACTGAAGAAGAGTTGACGCTTTTGAGTTGTGGTGTTGGTGAAAAATGCTGAAAGTACCATGGATTGCTAAAAGAACTAACAAATCTGTCCTGGAGAAAGTGCAGCTGGAATGCTCCTTGGAAGTGAGAATGGCCAGACTTTGTCTCACCTACTTTGGTCATGTTGTCAGAAGGGACCATTCTCTGGAGAAGGATGTCATGCTTGGTAAAGTGGAGGGTCAGTGGAAGAGGGGGAGGCTCTCAACAAGATGGATTGACATGGTGGCTGTAGTGATGGTCTTGGGTATAGTAGGGATTGTGAGGCTGGCACAGGACTGGGCAGTATTTTGTTCTACTGTACATAGGGTGGCTATGAGTTGGAGACAGCACGACAGCACCTAACAACAACAATAACAGAGAAGTTAAGTGTCCTGCCTAAGGTTGTTCAGTATGGGAACAGCTGATCAAGTAAGGAACACTGTAGAACCCTACTTGAAAACAGTTGGTTTTTACCAGGGTGCTATAAGGAGTGGATTCCTAGGACCAGAGGTAAACTAGTGCCTAGTGAAGGTAGTAGGGGAGTTAGTACATGGACTATTATGTTGGCCTGTTATGTTGGAGTTACAAAGCTTTGGTGCATTTTTTGGTAGAGAAGGCAAACAGGGTTCCCTCAATCTTCTCCACTAAGAGCCTGTGTTCTCTGATCAGGTCCCATTCTTGACCAAGGAGTGTCTGATAGCAATGAGAAACGGGAGAGAGTGCTCAGACCTGAAGGCAGCTCTGCGTCAGGAATTCTGCAATCTGGAAGAGGTACAAAAAGGGGCCCCTCTGCAAAAAAAAAAAGAAGGTAGGGGCCAGGTTTGCTGGTCCAACAGAGCCTGGTGGAACCACTTAGACTATGGCCCCTAGCTGCCCTTCAGGTCTGGAATTGAACCCACACCTGTGGTT